ATGGATAATGGATAATGGAAGATAGTTGATGGATGGATGAATGGATGGATGATGGATGGATGGATGATGATGGATGGATGGATGATTGATGGATAATGGATAATGGAAGATAGATGATGGATGAATGAATGGATGGATGATGGATGGATGATGATGGATGGATGGATGATTGATGGCTGTTTTGTTGTAGAATAAGAACGAGATTACTGAGTCACTCTCATGTGGTAAAAATCAATGGAACATTCTTATTTAATTTTAAAATAGAATAGTACAAATATTAATAAACAAGATGCACATACGCTTATAAAAAGTTTATATTTTACAATTTTTTTCCAAAAATAATAAAGAGAAAATGTTTCAGACATTTTTAAACCCACTGAACGTGCAAATAAATGTATACTTGTTATTTTTTGTGTGTCACTATCCTGCATATTGTGTGAAAAAAGTAATAAATAATATAAACAGACAACAAGTGGCTCATTTATGTATTTGCACATAAAATACATGTATTTCGTAGGTCTGACTAAAACCCTTCCTAACGTTCTTACTTTTGCTTCTTTTGGTTGAGAACACGTTGACAACGTCTGCACAATGAATCACAGTCAGGTGGAAACTTTCTTGTTCCAGCCAAGATAAACAGTAAACTGGTGTTTATTTTTGTCTTAGTGTCTCGGGTCGGGACTTAAACATAATAAATTAACATGTGAACAAATAAACAGGTTTGTGTTTGGACAGTTTGAATGCATTCACCCACTTTAAATGCAGTTTAGCATCCAGTTCTCAGTAAATACAGCCTTACTGTTTTAAGTGTTTTAGTGTTCTGCCAAACACTTTTACAATCATCTTAAACCATCCAAGAATACCACGTCTTTATAGGATTTCATCTTTGTGTGCATGAAGGCATTGCAATTTTATCCCATTATTTCCGTCTTTGGTTTTATGGACAGATTCTTGTTGGTTTTGTTAAATTTGTTCTTTTATTTTTTGCCATGCATTTACCCGTGGTGTGCAAACTGTGGCTCCTGGGCCACATGCAGCCGTTTGGTTCTAGTGACTTCTTTTAGCTTTGATCCAATCATACACCCATCCATTTTCATCCATTTGCTTTGTGACTTTTCTTTGCGTCTATCTCCATCAGTCACTGTGCAAGAGAAGGGGGACACCTTGGACAAGTCTCAAGTCCATTACAGGGACTCGTATAGAGACAAATGAGACAAACCACTCAGAGTTAACCTAACAAGCATGTTGTTGGTTAGTGGGAGGAGATCTGAGTACTTTGACTTTATTAGAATTAATTCTTGAAGTCAATCAAACACTCAACCATCAAACCCATTTATTATGTTCACTAATCATTTTTATATGACAATCTTATAATTCAATATTTTTATAATTAGCATTCCCATATTGTTATTATTATTGTTACTACTTCTCTTATAAATTCATTAATTCATTCAACCTTTATTTAGACAGGTTAATCCCACTGAGCCTCAGGGACTCATTTACAAGAAGAGAGACCTGAAATAAAGGAAACACTCACTCGTCTTTTACGGTTCAGGGTCGACATCTTATCAAAGGCTTTATACACAAAGAGTCTGGTCGTTTTTTTGTCCAAACATGTAAAAAATGTCATCGCTTCACTCACATTTTTTACTTCGTGTGGCCCGACATAGTCTTTTATATGTAGTATTTTTTATTTTGGGGAGTGGTGGCGCAGAGGTTAGAGAAGGAAAGCTTGAAGATCGGCGGTTCAGTCACCCGACAACATCAAAATGTGGGTGAGTAAGGTGAAGCATCTACACCCCCTGCCTCCACCGGTGTCTGCTCCACTCTGGGCCCTTGAGCAAGGCCCTTAACCCCCACCTTCTGCTCCCCCGGGCACCATAGATGGCAGCTCTCTGCTCCACACAGAGGGTTGTGGTAGCTCGGTGGACTGTGGTTGCTTCAGGAAGGGCATCCGGTGTAAAAACAATTGCCAAGTTTTTGTGCAGTTAGTTCCCTGTGGCGACCAGAGGGGAGCAGCCGAAAGAAGAAAAAAGTAGTAATTTTAATTTAAAGTTTTATACGCGTTTTGTGGCAATGGATTCATTTTTTAGGGTAAGTAAATTGGCAGAATGTTTTTTTTTTATGTAAAAGTTGCCCAACTCTGACTTATTAAACTGAAATTTGTCCATGGGTAACTTAAAACCCTGACTCCCACGTGTTCCTGCACCTGCACATCTGACCGCATGAGGGCGCTGTTCGGCGCCGAGCTCTGACCTTTGATCAAGTGGGCGTGTCGCTGCGCGAGCTCAGTTCTCTGAGGCTGAAACACAGAAACACAGAACATGGACTGAAGTTTGACACGGTAAGTTGTAATGTAGGACCAAAAACTGCTGGTCATTTTAGAGAATTGGCCTTTTTTTTTTTACTGGTGTAGATTAATCTTTAAAGATAATTTTCATTGACTGGTTCACAAAGACTGGAAGACATGTGACATGTTACATTTGACATGTTTGTGTCAGTGTGAAGTGGCCTTTTGAGACTTTGAACTTAATTAAATTAACTGTGTTTTCCCAGCCCTCTCCTGTTGCATTTAAATAATAATCATAATCCAGGGTGGTTTTTATGTTTGGCTGCTGTTTGTTATTTTAGTGGTTGGAAAAAGTCACATAAAAACATTGTTGTTCTCATTCCTTTCAGCAGAACCGCACTTCAGCTGTGCTACAGGGCTGCTGAACCTGAGAGCAGAAAAGGTGGACATGGAGGTCTTCTGGGCAGGCGTCCTTTGGGCCATGAAGATCTGGCTGTACCTGATTATCAGCCTCATCATGATCCCAGCCATGTTTGGATTCTCGCTGGGCATCTCAGAGACCTACATGACCATCCTGATGAAGACTTTAAAGGTACGCTCACGCTTTAAAGGCACGTTTTATCTTCATAATTGTCACACACTAAGGTGTAACCACGAATGTCTGCTGTCTGTTCACCACAGTGGGCCACTCTGAAGATACAGAAGGCGAATGCAGAAGAAAAAGAAGCTAATTCTCCATCTAATGGTGAGTAAAAATGGAGAGATGAACTTTTATCTGTAACTGTGGGCGGGTTTGATGTTTGCTGCAACACTGGGTTTCTTAATTTTTTGAATTGCAAGTCCAGACAGGCATGTCGCAACAGAACTCCACTTATAAAGAAGCTTCTTTACCTGTAATGTGGCAAACATTTTTTCTGCAGACAAGCACATTCCTCCTCATGTAACATCTCTTTCACACAGCTGGTTTGAATTATTTAGTTCATCCAGTATAAAAAAAAAATTGAAGTTTGTAGATACATACACTCCCTTAAGATCATTTACAACATGCAGCAAGGTGAAGTTGTTCTGGCAACTGTGCCAAAAGTGTCTCAGGAGTTACTCAACTTCTTATCTGTCGCTGAGCTGCGCAGGGTTGTGTTCTCTGCAGCAGCACATAAAGATGTCAGGTTTGTCAGCAGAATGCGACTCTTCCAAAGTCCAAAGTGTGTCCGTGGTGCTTTTTTTTTTTTTTTTTTTTAATGTGGTTTAAAACTACAGGAGATAAGACGGACTCTTTTCAAGAAGTTTGGACTTTGTATATGGAGTATAAAGTTTGGGACTTTTGGTTGTGAACTTTGTTAGCTATGTTGTCAGAATCTGAACTGTTCTCGGATCTGTTTGGTGGAAAGTTCATGAATAAACTTTTGTTTTTGTACCAATGCCAACCATGTGGCTGTCTAATCCCATCAGGATCTTAAAGGAGACAAGATTAGGTCGACTTCCACATGGCTTCTAAAATCTTGGCTTCTATCAGATGACTGAATTTAGCTTTCTCAGTTTGTGGCTGGGTGTTCATCCATCAGGTCTCATCCTGAGGGCAAATGGCTCCATGGAGAAGGAGTTGGAGGAACTTAGACGCAGCAGACCCAAACCACCAGTTGGCGGTGACTTTACACTCAGCGACTGTTTCTATTTCACTCGGCGAGGAATTGAGAGCATTGTAGAGGATGAGGTACGTTTTTACCTAATAAATCAGAAACGTCATGCAGGTTTGATAATATATTTCCTTTAATTATGTCTGTTTTGATCTTAGGTGACCCAACGGTTCACCTCTGAGGAGCTGGTGTCCTGGAACTTACTGACTCGCAACAACCACGATTTCCAGTACATAAGTCTCAAGCTGACACTGGTCTATGGCCTTGGTATCTTTGTGAGATATTGCATCCTTGCCCCACTTAGGTAAACAAATACTGATTGGAGTCTACTTCCTGCAACGTTAAGTTCTGCTTCTGATGGTGACAGAAAGGCAGCGCTACTCCACAGGCAGAAATCCAGTCAAACGTTGGGTCGAATCTCAGTGGGTGGAGCTTAGATGTTCGCAGTTCGTTAATAATATTGTGTCTGAGCCAGCTATATTTAAAAAGAGGATAAGTGTATTTTTCACCAATATGTAAATACCTTTAATACAATTTGTCTTTTTTTTTTCTTGATAAAACATTTTGTTAAAACAAAATAATTAAAATAACATCTGGCAACCAGATCATAAATGTATTCAAACACAAGCTCAGATGAGCATGATGCGATAATTCTTTTTATATATTTAGCAGAAATTAAAATCAAAATGCAGAAACCACATATAGGAAAACAAGTGCACCCATACAGCTTTTTGACGAAGTAAGCTTCTCAGTTATTCAGAACATGGCAACTCCCAAAAGTTTAAAACCAACTGGACTTCTGTTCTGTAGTTGAAGACTTTTACATCCCAGATTGATTTCACTCCCCTTCCTGCTGAGGGTCTCTGGGGCTTTTCGTTAACTTCAGTTAATAGAATAAGCAGCTGCCAGGTTCAAACACACTTGATTAATTCATCCTTAACAAGTGTATCTGCTGATCTGGAGCAGTCACATGTGCGTTAGCACAACGCTGACTGCCCATCACGATTTGGACTGGTTTTACAGTCACTGAGTTCATCATGAACTCATCCATGAATCAAAATATTTTGGGGTTAAACGCGAGGCCATCTGTCTAATAGGAGGAATTTGGATCGTGCAACAAAACGAATGCAACAGTAACATTTTCAAAATAATGGCAGAGAAAGAAAAGAGACAAGGTATTACAATGGCAGAATAAAATCCCAAATAATAAGAATAAAAATAACGAAGAATTCATTTGGCAGCTCTCGGATACAATAGCAGCAATTTGCATGAAAACTATACACAAAATGCACACACGCTTTACTGAACATGATGTACAATTGTAGAAATTGGCAGATTGTAGGTCAGAATGAATAACAACAATTTGTAATGAGAATAAATATAAAACAAACAACAAGAAACCAGTACAGTAGGTGCAGTGGATGATGTGTTTAGTATGAAGCTAGTTAAAGTGGCTTGTGTGATTCTGCAAGTTATACTATGGTGGGGTGGGTGGAAATGTAATTGTTTTCAACATTACTCAGCACTGTGCGAGTATGAAGTGATGAAGATGGGGAAAAAACAAGTGGGCATAATTCTACCGCTTGTGAGACGCCAAAAACGAAACTTTGTTGTTTCCCTATGCAAATTATACCTTAGACACAAAAGTCCATGCTCAATATGGTGTAGAGGCAGGGCAGCCGACTCGGGACCTGAAAGTCCCAGGTTCGATCCCCGCATCTCGTGGTGTCCCTGAGCATCAAACCTCATCCCCAAATGCTCCCCTGGTGCCTTCAATAGCTGCCCACTGCACCACCTGGTGGTGGATGGTTTAAATGCAGAGATCCAATTTCACCATTGTATGGGAACAAACGATGACAATACATAACTTATTATTATTATTATTATTATAATCCAGGAAAAAAATCCAACAATGTTCAGTCGGGTCATCTGGACAGTTTTTTTTTTTGTTTTTTTGGTGCTGAGACGTTTCGTCCTTCATCCAAAGGACTTCATCAGTCGTCAGCCACTTTAGATGAAGGACGAAACGCCTCAGCAAAAACAAAAAAACAAAAAAAACGTCCAGACATACATTTTTATGAGCTAAAACCCTAAAGGGAGAACTTAATTTTCACATGTACAACCTTTTACTTTTTTATTTTATCCTGATGTGTAAAAACCTTTAAACCTTTTGATAACTTTTAACCATGACTGCGTCTAATAACTTTTTCCGTGGTGATTCTTGCTACATTTTGAACTCGTCTCCCATCCTTTGCATTCTCTAACCAGCTGCTTGGAATAAGAAGGTTTTCTCTGTCTCCAGGATAACTCTGGCCTGCATCGGCCTGAGCTGGTTGGTAATCGGAACATCCGCAGTTGGATTTCTCCCAAACTGGAGGTGACTAAATCTCATCACAGGTTAATTAACTTCCTGTTAAATGTGACTTCATGTGTCCATCTAAATGTTTGTGTTTAGGATAAAGTTCTGGCTCAGTGAGTGGGTCCATATCATATGCTACAGAATCTGTGCTCGAGGACTCTCAGCTGCTATTCAATATCACAACAGGTCTGCTCTCCTTAAATGTTGCTCTGAAAACCTCTAAATTAGACTTGCAGTATCTTGTCGCTCTGACTTGACGTTTCTTGTTGCATTCAGAGAAAATAAACCTAAAAAAGGAGGAATCTGCGTCGCCAATCACACCAGTCCAATCGACGTCGTGATACTGTGCAACGATGGGGGCTACGCCATGGTAGGCAGAGAAACGAGCGTCAGCGCAGCGTGTTTCGAAGATTTGTTTTGTTTTAACATTCGTCTCCTCGATGTATGTTGGTCAGGTGGGTCAGGTCCATGGAGGTCTGATGGGGTTGCTTCAGAGAGCCATGGTGAGGTCTTGTCCTCACGTCTGGTTTGAGAGATCAGAGATGAAAGATCGCCATCTTGTGACCAAAAGGTTAGTTTTCTTCTAAACATTACCTGTTATTTAGTCTTATAGTAACTGCTTTGGTTCTGAGACACATTTTAATGCCTGTAAAAATAAATTGGGAATTTTTTAAAATTTTATCCAAATGTTACTTACATTTAAAAAATAATTCAAGCTTTCAGTTTGGAGGTCCAGTATCTTATAGCATTACATTATTCCAGATGGTTCCTGTATCATCTCAAATATGCTAAAACAAAGTTACATTATTTCAATATCAGTGTGTGAAAGAGTTTTCCATCCCCTTTTGTTCTGTTTCCAGGCTGAAGGATCATGTGAGTGACAAGACGAAGCTTCCCATATTAATATTTCCTGAAGGTAAGCGTGACCGTGTTACTTAATTCTCAACAGGTTTGATGTAAAGACTCTTTAAAGGTTGTTTAAGATCATGTCTGAGAGCAATCTGATGTCTTGTTTCTGCAGGAACCTGCGTCAACAACACGTCCGTCATGATGTTTAAAAAGGGAAGTTTTGAAATTGGAGGAACAATATATCCTGTAGCCATCAAGGTATTACACTTCTGCTTCTGTGTTGATTTATTTATTTATTTTTTGAGTCTTCTGAGTTTCATATTTCTGCAACCTCACTGTCTGTGTATTTTCCACCCTTTGCTAGTATGATCCAAAGTTTGGAGATGCTTTCTGGAACAGCTCCAAGTACAGCATGGTGAGTTACCTGCTGAGGATGATGACCAGCTGGGCCCTCGTCTGCAACGTCTGGTACCTGCCGGCCATGCACCAACAGGTTTGCTTTACAGCCTACATATTTATACCTACAAAGTTATAACTTTATTTCAGAAAGCACCACTTCTAATTAAACTATTCCCTCTCAATTCTTGCTTTCACCCTTATTTACCAACAGTTTTCCACAAACCTATTATACTTTGTACAGTAGTCCCTCGTTTATCGCGGGTGATCTGTACCCTGAAGCTCCGTGATAAGTGAAAAACCGCCAAGTAGGGATACAGTAGTTCAAGTTCAAGTACAGTAAACTTTATATTAGAGCTTTAGAAACCCTTCCCATACTATTTGAATGTTCTAAACTCTTAAACCTACATCATTTTAACAACTTATGTTAGAAAATTTTACTTACTAACTTTGCAGAACAGAAATGGCTCTGGTTCCGGTCCAACTCTGTTCTATTTCGACTTGGTTCGTTTCTGCAGACCTGTCCTGCAGCAATGAAGCCCACAAATCAGTCCTCTAAACTCTTAAACCTACTAATTTTAACAACATACAGTACGTATATGTACAGGAGCTACAAAATTTCACTTACAAGGGCTCTGCAGAACAGGAGCAGCTCGGCTCGATAGATGGAAAGAAAAGTCCCGGTGCTGCATGACTGAAGCCCACCACTGCTGCTCCAGGAGCAAGGCTGCCTAAGATTTAATTCACCACCTCTGGCCCGGTCCGGACCAGTGCTGCACGACCAGAACCAGGCTGAAGTCTGCAGTCGTCTGTTCCCTGCAGCTCCCAGGATCCGAGTCACACTGAGTCCAGATCAACTGCAGCTACTCAGCAGTGAAGATGCAACTTGAAGGAGGAGTTCAGCTTCAGAATTATTGGATACGTTCCTCCTGCCAGTTCTGTGAGCTTATACTCGTTACTTCTGACTGCATTGCAAAACTTCCCCTCCGTTTGCAACAAACAGCAGTTGGAAGCAGTGTTGACTTCTGGGAAGTGAACTGAGGGCTTTTGGGTAACGTAGTTCTTTAGACTGGCAAATCAGTGAAGGCTTAATGAAACAAAAATTTTAAATGGCAGCACTTTTTTTTTGTGTTGTTTAGAAAATATAATGTACATGTACAGTACTTAAACAAACCGCGATAGAGCGAGTCCGTGATAAATGAACCGTGAAGTAGCGAGAGACTACTGTATTTGTATTTATGTATAAAAGTGAGTCCACAGGATGTGATTGCATTAAGATAATACATTTCACACATCCGGTGTAATAAATCCATTTTAATCAACTGAGTTTTATTTTGTTATTTTATATTCTCAGGAGGGGGAGGATGCTGTGCAGTTTGCCAACAGAGTAAAATCAACCATAGCTCATCGGGGAGGCCTGGTGGACCTACAGTGGTAAGCTTCCATTATTTTCTACTGTTGAAGCTCATTATTTTGTCTGTGATGTGAATGGGAATGTTTGTTCGTAGAAACAGCCCCATTTTGTATCAGCTGAACACAATCTAAGAATAAACCTCAGACTGAGACTCGGTCTGATTTTCATTACACAATTACATCACTTCTGTGGAATAAACTTTGTAAACGCTTAAATTAGAGCTTCAGTTTTGTGTTGTGCCAGTAATAATCTATACACTTTACTTTTTTCTCTCTTTAAATGAGTTTAAGGGTCGTCACGATGCTTATTTTAAGTGTAATTGCACGTTTTGTATTCCATAACATATAAAGTGACACCAGTCTCACATCCTTGTCGTATGTGGTTAAACTACCAGCACTTAACTGTTCCTCCATCTGCCCCTGCAGGGACGGAGGCCTGAAGAGAGCAAAGGTGAAGGAAACCTTTAAGGAGCAGCAGCAGAAGAAGTACAGCAGCATGGTGGTGGGAGACGACAGCAGCGGCAGCAGTGACTGAGATCAGTTTGTAGTTAAACGGACAAACCCTCTGTTGTGTTTCTAAAGAACATGAAGTGGCAAAAAGCCCACTACACTCCAGTGTTTTCACATCATCTGGACCTGACGGGGAATGCAGGACGACCAAATGGACCCAAACTTATGTAACTCTTGTGTCTCACCGGGAGCAAAGAAGGAAACAAAGTGCAATACTGAACACTACTGGAGCAGGGACAAAGGAAAACTCAGGTTTTTCCTCACTTCTGCTGAAGATATTGATTGTTGTGCTGAAAAATTTCATTGAATGAAATTTGTGGTTAAAGCCAAGCAACTGGTTCAAGAAACTGGAAAGTGTCTTTCTTTTTTTGTTGTTGACAAAAATAAATTTTAGTCTACAAATTGCAAACCAGCTGTGTAGTTATGTAAGACTAGACAAGTATTTGTTGTTATATCACACTGACATTTAAGTGATTTAAGCATAAAAAATGACAACATGTTTAGGATGAGGATAAAAACTGCAAAATAGCTGCTGCTGATAACCCCCTATTTGTGTCTGAGTTTTCAGTTTCAAACTAAAATACTGGGTTGTTTTCATAACCCATTTGCTGGGTTAAAATTGTTGGGTCATAGGTTGTGTTGGTTTGGTCAAATATTGGGTCAAACGGTTTGACCCAGGTCATTCTTCACAGTCTGCCATTTAAAGCCACAAGTAGATTGAATGAGATGAGACTGACTGGACCTCTGCTTCAAGGTGTAACAAAATAAGTTGATTTAAAAAATATGTATGACTTTTTTTTAACCTGGTGGGCTTTGTTAATAACTTTAGTTTGTATTAGATGCGGGCAGCATGGTGGCACAACTGGTAGAGCTGCTGCCTCTCAGCGAACAGGTCCCTGGTTCAAACCCCGGTCCAGGGGCCTTCTGGGTGGAGTTTGCATGTTCTCTCCGTGCATGCGTGGGTTTTCTCCGGGTGCTCCTGTTTCCTCCCACAGACCAAAAACATGCATGTTAGGCTGATTGGTAACTCTAAATTGTCCCTAGGTGTGAGTGAGAGAGTGAATGGTTGTTTGTTTCGTTTGTCTCTATGTGGCCCTGTGATGGACTTGCAACCTGTCCAGGGTGTCCCCCGCCCCTCGCACAGTGATTGCTGGACATGGGCACCAGCGACCCCCGTGACCCAAAATGGAAGAAACGGGTTAAGAAAATGGATGGATGGATGGATGGATGTATTAGATGCTGAGTTTGGGTTCCTATAGTTGGTGTTAACTTGCTCATGCTAATAGTGGTTAGTCCCAGAGAGCCAGCACCAACCCAACTTGTAATTATTTAATAACCTGATACAGTAGGTGGTTCTTTTTAGCTCAGCCTTTAGTAGCTCTAATTCAACAAATTTATAATTTTAACACACTTTACGGGTGGAAAAAGTAACCCAGTATTCTGGGTCAAACTAGTAACCCAACCCTTCCAGCTAACCGCCGTGCGAGAGGCAGGGTATGCCCTGGACAGGCCGCAAGTCCATCACGGGGGTGCACAAAGACAAATGAAACAACCATTTATACTCTCACTCACACCTAGGGACAATTTAGAGAGCAACTCAACCCTGCTGGTTTTAATCCTCCCTGATCCAAGTTTGACCAAGTGCTGGGTTACACGGACAAAACAGCCACCTGAGTTTGGCACCTCCATTGTTATTGAAAAGTCCAGATGTTATTTTATAGTATAGCACACAGCTTAGATGTTTTAGTCCTCTTCCCTGCTAATCCTGGTCCTGATGTGGAACTCTGACCGCCTTCCTGCTTCTGTGGTTTTTCCTTTTCAGCCCCTAAAAGCAAAATCCAAAGAAACGTGTTTCTGGATCGTCCTCCGTGCGTCTAATTCTTTTTAAACTGGTTTGTGTCCTCACCATCGTCCAGTTTGTGATGACTCAGCTCCGTGCTCACCTGCGTGCTCTGTGTCAAACCAAAGATGGAGATAAAAGTCCACAGATCAGTTGGTGAACACCTGTAGTTTAACAGACTAAGGGATGACGTTACGCACCGACACAATGTTGGCTTTATTGTTTTGTTCCAGTTCCTGGCACCTGTAAATGTTTTCAAAAGATTAAGGTTTTATGTCGTAGAAAAGTCCAACAGAGTTAATTCTTGCATATCATTTGGAAGATCACGCCTTATTTCTTGTTTTAGTGAATAACTAATGCTCCACAGAAATATTTATGAGTTGCTGGCTCACGTGTAACTCTTTCTCTCTGCACAGTTCAGATAATGAACCAGCTGCTGCTGAACGAGTCGAGCACCATTTAAAATGACCTTTTAACTACTGTATGAGCAAGTTTTTGTATCAATTCAAATTTAATGATAGCGGTTGTACAAATACAGCCACTAGCTTCTGGTGAAAACATCCACGGTAGCTCTGGTTCTGTTTTCTGTTGAACGTTGTGATTCGGTATTTAAACTGTGAGGATGTGTTTCTGTGTCTTGACGCAGTAAAACTCACCGAAGCATCAGGTAGGAGTCGTACTGACGGATGACGGGTTGAGCCCTCAGTCCATAAGGTGTCCATCTAATGCTTGTATCGACTCCTACATCCACCCGGCCTGATGCTCCAGAGGCGATTGGCATCTCTACCAGCAGAACCACATGTCAGAAATTAATTTAAACATTTGTTTAAAGTTGACAACAAAGAAGAAAAGCTCACAGTCAAATGAATGCCAACCTTTTGATGCTAATGTTGCAGAAATACAAGCTTGTCTTGCAGACTTTCGCACACAAGCTTGGAGCTGTCTGCCGAATGAGGAGTGGAGTTTATGGAGATGTTTGTTGTCGTTTCCATGGTAACAGGGCTCTCAAAGGAAAACGGCAGTGGTGAGGCCTCGGGGACTTGGCCTTTTCTTTACTTTATTTTACTTCATTTTCTAAGAAACCCAGCTTTGTTTTTGAGGAGCACCTGAGAACCCAGCATCATTTGCCCACTCAGCCTTAAGAGTTTTATCATGACTCTCCAGATGAACCTCTATTAAGTTAATAGGCTGTGTGTAAATTAAGGTCAAGCTATGAAGGTAATAAAACTTTCTTTTTTTTAATCTTTGCATCTTTATATCCTAGAATAACGCCACAGTAAAAAATAATGTGTTTTTATTTGTAACTTTTGGCCTTTTTTTTTTTTTACTTCGTTTCTTTTTCTCTAAATAATTCTCTGTTAAAGATTTACTGTATATATGCTGGATTAGATGTTCATTTAATTTTATTTCATCAGGTTTATGATAGCAGTGGCATAG